AGATACACGTCTAGTAATATCTTCTGCCTTTGAAACAATCTATACTATATACTCCGCAGCGAGTATAACTGTCCCCGTCCTGACCTTCTGCTCATTCGAGTCTTCTGTGTGCTTCCCGCTCTCGACCACACTCACGGCATTCAACCCACCTCTTCGCCCCCGCCGCTAACGTGAGACGTCTCTCTACTTAACAATACCGTGAGAATGGTAGATTAAAAGGGGCTTACTTGCGGGCGGGGGGGGTGAGGGGGGGGGGGGAATGAGGGGGGATATTTTGTCTTACTATTTCTGTCACCCAGTGAATTCATAGCACTATCTGTTGGGACGGTGTATCCCTCTCAGCCCGTTTTGCCCTGACATGCAAAGTCAAAGCCTGTCTTATAAATTATCTAAATCGTGTCGATAGGGGTGTAAAATACTATTCATTTTGGAATTAAAACCCAATCGTTTACAACTCTTAATGTCTAGTGGAGAACCGAAATAATTGAAACTTGAACAAAAGGATCTAGCACAGATTCTTGGCCAAAAGTCACCAACAGTATAGGGCATGGGTCCCAAGATGATTAATTATTACGACTGGTTTAATGCCCTTTTCAAAATAATCTAAGTCATTAAGAATATTAATTACCCCAACTTTGACTGCTAAGGCAAACGCAAACTGACGGGAAAAAGCATCCCAAAAGAAATGTACGGGGATGTACGATAAGCAATAGCGTAACTTCCGAACACGGAAATCATTTCTTCATTTTTTTCGCACACGGAGACAAAGAACCTCTCCATTTCACCTCTGAAGACAGAAGAAGAAGAAGAAGAAGAAGAAGAAGAAGAAGAAGAAGAAGAAGAAGAAGAAGAAGAAGAAGAACAAGAACAAGAACAAGAACAAGAAGAAGAAGAAGAAGAAGAAGAAGAAGAAGAAGAAGAAGAAGAAGAAGAAGAAATATGTCTATAGAGAAAGAGTGCGTCGGCATCAAGAGACGCGACAGACAGACAGACAGACAGACAGGTGTACTGAGCCCACTATTTAGAATTCTTAAATAATTAATTTCCTAATGTAATGTGTGGTAACAGTTGTTGATACTCCAGAAGTGTTTGGTCCAAATTTGATTTCAACACCTTGAAAAAAGAAATCAAGTAGAAATAGTATCATGATGTAGAAGGTAGTGGGAGTATTTTATACTTTTTTTTAAAACTATCTATAACAACCAATGAACTAACTATGAAATAGCAGCCACGTCGAGGCCTGGTTCTTCGTCTTAACACAAAAATGAAATAGAAGTTCGAGTCCCACGTGGATACGTTTGTGTCACCGATTATCTTCACCTGGCCACCTGCATACGTGCAGAATCATGGCAACTCCCGCGCGCCAAAAGTATTGATGGTTGAGCGCTAGAAGTGTCTATACCCACTTTTAGTCTAAATTGAATAATCGATATGGGTAGTGATATTCTTAGCCGCTCTTTTACCTCTGTAAATATCTAAGACGGAGTTTTATTTGCTATCAAAAAGTTAACATTTCTTTTTTCTTTTTTTTTTCTTTTTTTGATTATGCTATAGAGATTTCAAAATCATCAAAATTTCAAACTCATTTTTTTCGAAACTGTGAAAAGTGGATATAGTCACTTCTTACGCTCAGCCGTTGGTACGGTAACCCCTGTATAATAATATGGAGGAGAAATAATATATATATATTTAAAAGTATTTACAATCAATTAATTAGAGTAGAATACTTGGTTAAAATGTTTCAAGAAGGTTAGGTAGCGAACTTCACCTTATTTGGTAATCCTCTGGCAATACTTGAGAGAGATCTTGCTGTCTTGCGGCCCGCTGATGCGCCCTGATCTGCAGCAGCAATTTTCAAAGAGCTTTTTATACCCCGTGGGAGATCAAGGTGGGGCTTCACTGCTTTGATAAGGCTTTTGTAAAAGGGAACCAACCGCGCAAGGATAGGTGCTGCCTTCGCAAAATGCTGTGAAAAGGATGGACTTCTTTTCTCTCAACAAGACGAAAATAGCAACAATTAAATAGTTCCTTTATCTAGGTCGTTGGGAGAAATATTTTTTTTCTTTTAAATATTTAGTAGTATAATATTATGTCTATGAATATTTAAGCACATGCGTTTTTATGTTTGAATTGTCGCTTGTTAGTTTATATAGCTTATAATATATAAACATATAGTTATATAATACACATATTTATACATATGTATTTCTTTATGTATGTATATATATATAAACATACATACATAAATACATATGAGTTTATATATATACA